ATCTTAAAAATAATAATAGAGACCTTTCGTACGTATAATTGTCAAATTACAGAATGCCAAAAGAAAACAGAATGCACTTCCCCCCAAAAAAACTCTCGATCATGAAATACAGCATACGACAGTATTAATGCTTAAGTCGGAGGGAATATCTTCATGATTCTTTTTTTTTTGGAAAAAATTTTTAACTGCCCTATTTGTTGTTGTTATTAGTTTTATTCCATATCAATATTTAATTTGATTAATGATTCCTCTTCGACTTGCAAAACGCGTGAAGTTTAATTGACTGATAGGGAACAATAGAAGTGTTACATTATTATAATCATCAACCCCCACCACTTTATCATCATCATCATCATCATCATCATCATCATCATCATCATCATCATCATCATCATCATCATCATCATCATCATCATCATCATCATCATCATTATTATTATTGTTTTTATATTATTTATTATTATTATTATTATTATTATTATTATTATTATTATTATTATTATCGTTATTATTTTTATTATTATAATTATTATCTTTATTATTGTTGCTATTTTATATTATTATTATTATTATTATAATAATTATTATTATTATTATTATTATTATTATTATTATTGTTATTATTATTATTATTTTCTGAATGTTTTGAAAATTGTATGCTGCTTTTAAATGTGGAAAAAAACCCAAAGAACTTATTGTTGACTTCAGAAAAAAGAAACTGCAGCCACTCGAAAACAAAAATGAAAACGTCGAGCAAGTGCCAATATTGGGTGTTACAGTAGACAATAAACTCGAGTGCCATGTCCACACTTCTCTCCAACTTAAAAAAGTGAACAAAAAACTATTTTCTTAAGAAAGCTCATGTATTTTAAAGCTAATAAAACATTGGTCTTTATTCTTTCATTCAACCATTGAAAGTATTATCAATTTCTGTATAACAGCATGGGCCGGAGACACAAGACAACAAGATAAAGAAAAATTAAATCGATTATTACGGAAAGCATGCAAAATTTCAACATCTACATTCCCCTACTTGAATGAATTGTACATTGTAGCTTGCGCTAGACTATAAATATTAATTCCATTATTTGGACAATAAACACCCCTTGTTCCCTCAAATAAAAATATGTGCCAGGATCTGGACAATAAAGATGTATCTTATCTTATCTTATCTTATAAAAATAATGATTTTTAAATATTATTACCATTACCATCATCATCTGGGTGCGGTGACGGAGCGGTTAGTGCGCTCGTCTCCGAAGCGGAAAGTCAGGGTTCGAGCCTCGGTTCGGACACGGATTTTTTTTCGCCCCCTTCTGCCCACCCAGCAGTAATGGGTACCTGACTTCGAGTTGGGGAAGTAAAGGTGGCGTGGAAAGGAACTGGCCACCTTACCACAATATGCCGAAGGCCCAGGAAGTTGTCTCACTTACAAGGCAATCCCCAATGTGCGGATCGGTTGCGGGAACATTTACTATTATTATTATTATTATTATTATTATTATTATTATTATTATTATTATTATTATTATTATTATTATTATTACAACTAGTAGTACTATTATTACTATTATCATCATTATTATTATCAGTATTGTTAGTATCATTTATTGATGTCAACACAATCGGTCTGACAATTTCTTCCTCTCTTTTTCTTTTTTTTTCTTTTAAAGGATTGAAGGATTCATCATTATCTTTGAGTTTGCCTTGGGCCTGCTTTTTAAAAAGTGTGTTTTCGTTCTCTGCCCAGGGTGTGCTGGTGTTTTCTCCTGTACCTGGTGTCCGTGGTGCCGCCCATCTGGCTGCTAGAGCTGGACAGATTGGACGAGTTCAACGACAAATATGACGCAGCAGTTGGGGGAGTGTCCATCGTTGTGTCAGGGGTGAGTTGTGACACGTTGTGTGGTGTGCGTGAGCACAGTTTGCCCATGAATGTGCTCAGAGCTTATTATAATTGCTTGGGATAGAGCGCTGTGTAAATGCAATCTATTATTATAGATAGATAGATAGATAGATAGATAGATAGATAGATAGATAGATAGATAGATAGATAGATAGTAGTAGTAGTAGTAGTAGTAGTAGTAGTAGTAGTAGTAGTAGTAGTAGTAGTAGTAATTCTTCTTTTTTTCCTTCTTCTTTTTTATCATCATTATTATTATT